TTCCTGCTGTGTTCCCAGGGCCTCCAGCTCGGGCAGGGGCACTGCTGGCCTGTGGGGGAGAGTCTGTCCATAAAGCTGAGGAGCGGGTTAGGAGCAAGCAGTCAGGTCTGCTGCACCCCAAGCCCGCCCCACCTGCTGAGGGACCGGCCACGTTCCAAGGCCCTGCAGGAGGGAGGGCCGGAGAGCCAACTGGAACTGCGGCCCAGTGAGTGGAGCCCTGCGGGCTCTTGCAGTTCCTCGTCAGCCCGCAGCGCTCCTGTACTGCGGCTTGCCAGCCCTTCCCACGACCGAGGCATGGTACGCCCGCTCCGACTTCTGGGGGCGGTTTCTAGGGCGCTGCCACCCCAGCAAACTACGCAGTAGGCGATGCCGGGCTGACGAGCTCACGCCCAATCATTTACGAGCCTGGCTGCTGTGGTGCAGGCAGAGCGTGTCCCACGGTGGCCGAGAGGGACTTCCCGTGAGTTTGCAGTGGCCAGCACTGTGCCAAGCCGTTTCACGGGTGTTATTTCCTTGAGTCCCCTCAGCGACCTGTGGGAGGCCTGGGCCCTTACTCTCCCGTCTCACAGATGGCAAAACCGAGCCCCAGAGGAGCAGCGTGGCTTGCCCCGAGTCATGCAGTCAGTGTGTGTGGAGCTCGAATGTGACCCTGTGCAGTCTCAAGAGTAGAGACCTCGTGACAGTAAGTGGCTTTTCCAGTAATGAAAACCCCCAGCAAACACTGGGTGCACTTAGCCCTCCACGGCATATCGCTTTCAGAGCACCTCGAAAGCACTGTTGCTCAGAGGCGGGCCCCGCCCCGTAGGCCGATTGGTCTTGGTGTTGTTTAATTTAGTTGCCTACAGTCAGGGTTCCTTTTCAATAGGGCAGGCTTGTCTTTGTGTGATGGAGAACCAGGGCCCCAGTGGCACGGGGGCAGCCAGGGCCCACACCCAGGAAGACCTAGCAGAGAATGACTGTTCTGAGTGCTGTGGCCACGTTCAGGACGTGCCTCTTCCAGCCTCTCCGTGCCCTGAGATGCTGGGATGCAGAGTTCCTGGGGGGGAGGCACTCCCTCGTGCGATGGGCATGTGGCTGGCCACGTGGGAACTTAACGCTCCCTAAAAACAAAAGCAAACACACAAAAGAACACCCAGCCGATAGGCCTGACCTCCGAGACCCTGTCCACAGTTCCCCAAGCCGGAGTGGACAGGCTGTTTTTGCCTGAGAACCATGATACAGGCTGGAGGGCTTCTAAGCAGAACACTTCCTACGAGAGCTGGGATGTGCTGCAAAGTGTCTTCACGTACACACGGTCTGTAAGAGACACGAATTCTCTGTGAGTTTAAGTAATTTAGAAATGCCAATTAACTACAACGAGACTTTATCAACTTGGGGGTTTTTGTTTGTTTGTTTTTAGTTTAGTTTAAAACCTGAAGCCTGTGGATTTTGTATGAACACACATTTGAGGACAGAAATGTAGCCGTCTTTAAGCTGGCAGTTAGGACTGTCTCATGTTCAGAGAAAACTATTTACAAATTTTATTTAAAGTAAATAAACCACCTTTGTTAAGTTAAAAAAAAAATAGCTACTTCAATAGGACATGCTGCTCATAAAGTAATTTCACGATTGTCTCTAACATAGTGACAATTACTTGTTTGTGAACTTGTAATTTGTGCTTTAAGTTCGCTGCTTTGTAAATGCCGATTAGGTCTTTCTCTGTGTTCAGTGAGCACAGATTTGCAGGAAGACCCTGTGGGTTCAACCAAAATGGCCAGGGCAGGCGTAGTGTACATTCCACCTAAGAGAAGCAGGTACTGAAACGGCAAAAACACTCATGAAGGACAATAGCAAAGAACAGCTCTGTAATAACTGCACTCGTGTATACTTTGCACTAATGTAAACTGTCTCCTATGACACATGTGTTACCGGGCACCGAAGCTTAGGTCGGAGACCTAAGACCGCGCCTGCGGCAGCTTGCGGCCAAGGCTCTGGGCACCTCACTCCACTTCCCGTCCGTGCCCACGCCCAACGCTGCATCCCTCATACCTCGAGGTGCCGACCTTCGGAACACAGCCAACGTGCTGTTCCCCTCCAAAACCGACAGGCCACGTGCCACATCCAACAATTGTACCCTTGTTCAAATACCTTGCAACTCCTGTTTGTAATTGCCTCCCAAATTTGCAGGGGCGAATCTCATCTAGATTTGAATTTGATTTCATCGATGCAGTGCCGTTTTGTAGGATGCGCTGTGCTGCGGGGAGCCGGCGGGAGGCGGGATGGGACAGGCATTCTCGCTAGCAGGTGGGCTGCCTGGGGGGAGGGCTGATGTGACTCTCACGGGGCAGGACACATTTCTGTCAGGCGGAGACCGAGGAATGGCATTTTTGGTAGGACACCCTGGCCCATCACTCACAGGTGTGTGACTTTGCTCTGCTTCCCTGGGCCATGTTTAGTTCTCTGAACACCCCGCATGGTTTTGCATTCTGGGTCCTCGTGGGGACCCTCGCCTCCTTCCTGTCAGGCAGACGTGCAGTTTCTCTTTCAAAACTGAGCTCAGACGCGTCTCTCCAGGAAGAAGCCTCTCTGGCTCCCAGCTTCCGGGGACCAGGGTTGGAGTGGGCGGGAGGGAGCTAGCATTCCCCGAGACTCGGTCCCCTGCACACGCGACCTGGGTTGACCTTCACGGGTCTCCCGTGACACAGTGCCGCCATCTTGTGTTAGACTCGAGGACAAGCCACACACGTGGTGAGGGGCAAAGCCCAGAGGCAGACCCAGTTGTCCCCAAAGCCAGCCGTGTCCCTATCTGACCCCTGTCACACGCTGCTGTCACTTATGAGTTTTGAAAGGCAGCCACCACTGTTCTGTGAACTCGTGAGCCTGGTACCTGTAGTCGGACTGTGGCTCAGCGCTCACCGAGCCACGTGTGGAAGGTGGCACTGTCAGTTCGAAGGTGGCTGGGTGTGGCTGAGGCAGGTAGGCCTGGCTGGACCTCGTAGCGATGACTGTCGTGTGGTGTTGGCGGCGTCACCAGGTGCCCATCAAAAACGCCCCTGAAGTTTAGGAGAAGCGCCCCATCTCAGCCGCCAGGAACCAACACTCCCGCCACGTCCGGAATCCATCCTACACGGGGCCCCCTTCCTGGGGGGCATCCCTTGTGCCTTCTCCCCTCTAGTCCTGCTGACACCCCCAGCCCAGGGGCCTGTTCTAACTCCCGTTTCCGTCATGGAGTTCCCTGAACCCCTGCTGGCCTTCGGGCCACAGCACTTCATGTGGGAAACAGTGGGCTCAGGGGACAGTCCTGTAGGAAGGGCCGTGACTGCGGTCTGGGGCTCTACCTCCCGAGAGCTGACTCAGCTGTCCTTGGGTGGCGTTCAAAGCTCTCCGGTAACTAACGGTCTGCCGAGCACGCTCAGTGACAGGTAACAGAACCGAAACCCAGAAGGCAAAGCGGCTTTTGCCGGCATCACGCAGATGGATGGTGGGGCCCTGCTCCTCGCCTCCGGGGTCCTGACTCCAAGGACCGAGCCCCACGCCTGCCAGAGGAACAGCACAGCCAAGACGCCGGGAAGGGTCTGGCGTCACGACTCGCTGGCGTGAACGGGCCGTGTGGTTCGCAGTTGCGAGGTGTCTCTCGAGGCTGGTTGGAAGCGTCCTGGGCGCGGTCCCTTCCCCTGCCCTCCCATGTGACCGCCTGTCCCTTCCCCCCAGTGCCAGGACTACCGGGGCGGCGTGCTGGCGGGCGACCTGTGTGCGGACCTGTGCGAGGCGGGGAGGCTGCTGTACCGGCGCTGTCTGCACTACGAGAGGGGCAAGAAGGTGCTGCAGGCGGACTGGCGCGGCCGGCCCGTCATTCTCAAGTCCAAGGCCGAGGCCTTCTCCAGCTTCCGGCCACCCAGCCTGCTGGAGGACCCGGCCGGGGACGGGGACCAGGATGTCCCGGAGGCAGAACTGCTCCTGCTGGTGGCCGGGGAGGTCAGGAGCGCCCTGGGCCTGGAGCTGTCCAACAGCAGCCTAGGGCCGCTGTGGCCAGGGCCGCGGGGCCAGCACTGGCGGGGCCAGCTGGCCAGCCTGTGGTCCCTCCTGCAGCAAGAGGAGTTCGTGCTGCTCAGCCTGCTGCAGGGCCTGAGCCGGCACGCCCTGCCCGTGCTGGGCTCCTGTGGCCACTTCTACGCCGTGGAGTACCTGGCGGCCGGCAGCCCCCGCCACAGCGCCCTCTTCCCCCTGGACGGGGCCTCCCGCAGCCAGGCCCAGGCCGTCAGCGACATGGCGCTCAGCTTCCTGGACCTGGTGAGCCATTTCGACAACGACTTCTCCCACCGCCTGCACCTCTGCGACGTCAAGCCCGAGAACTTTGCCATCAGAAGGGACTTCACGGTGAGTGGCCCCGGGAGGGGACATTTATCCCGTGGGTCCGTGAGGTTGTGGACGAGAGGGCTTCTGAAGTCTTGGGAAGCACAGTGACCTCACGCCACCTTCCAGCCTGGACCACCCCGCTGGCCCAGCCCCCCTTTCACGAGAATTGGAGGACACGGGTGCCTCACCCCACCCCAGGAAGGGAACTGTGATGAAAGGCCCGTAGGGCAAGGCGCGTCCTCCCCAAGGGCTGTTCTGGATCCTTCTGCGCAGCTTGGCAGCTCCCGAGAGCTACTTTGGGAGCAAGCTCTCACTGAGTGCGGCGCACAGCCTCCAGGGGATGAGGAGGGGCGGCCTTTGGGGGCTTTCGTCTGGCAGCGCAGACGGGGAGGCAGTTTTCAGGGCGCCGGGCTCCGCTACGATGCGCAGCTTCTCCTCACCCTTCCTTCCTGCAGAGGTCTAGTCAGTTTCCCTTGCAGGATGAGACCTCTAGAGGGACGGCTGGAGTCCGGGTGTCCTCCCAGGGGAAAGGCCCGGCCGGTGGGAACGTCTGCCTCGGCGAGGCTCTGTACCTGGCAGGTGCATGTTAGCTCCGACTCCAGCGTCCAAGGAATGAAACGAGGGGGAGCAGGAGCGGGGGGATCTTCCCCATCTCATTCAGAGATGATCCCCTCCCACCTCCCTCCGGCTATGTGACAGTGATCCAGGTGCCCTAACACAGTGTCATCGACCAGGGCCACCCCCCGGCCCAACAGTGTTTAGCTCTTACACTGCGAATGCTGGCAGGTGAAGGGCCAGGCCAACTTAACCCTGGCCACCTTGGCGGGCTGGTCATGGTGGAACGATGCTCTTTGTCCCAGTTAGAAACAAGGGGACGGAGAAACAAGGGCTTCCGTGGCAGGTGGCATAGGAAGACCTCTTTAAAACAGCCTAAAATTGGTGTAAATCCCTTCTCAATCAAGTCTTTGTCACTGTGAAGGGTGTAGTAATCTCTTGTCCAAACTGCTTTGTCCTAATGCCCTGTCCCTGGCTGCCGCAGGGGGGCCGACAAGTGGAGGTGGTTCCAAGTGTGGAAGGGAAGGAGCTGGGATGGCAGGTTCTGAAAGGTTCCAGAAGGTTCTGGGAAGTTCCAGGAGGAGTCGAACCCTATGTGCAATAACTTGAGCTCCAAGAGTCTCCTCCAGACAAGTTGTGAAGCGGGGGACACCCCAGACTCATCAGCGTATTTCTCAGAGCGGGGATCCTGGCCAAGGAGCCTCTAGTTCTGAGCAGGATGATTATGTAATGGGCATGAGGGCCACTGTCCTCAGAGAAGTCTGAGGGGAGCAGCCGCCGTGAGGTCTTTGGAGAGGAGGCGTCCACACAACACCTGGCTTTGGGCAGTCATGGGGCCAGTTCTTCTCATCATGAGGTCCTCAGTTATTCACCCAGCAAGCATTATGAGGTGTCAATGAGTGAGACTCAGCGGGTGAGACTGAAGTCGAGGGACCTGGAAGGCTGTCTGGGCAGGGTTCCCAGGAAGGGCGTCAGAAGGAGGTGGGGCTGGGGGTCTCCCCAGAGGGTGGGCAATGTGGGGTGTTACTCTTCAGTCGTGCCTTCCAGCATCTCGTGCGTTACGGGCACAGAATCGTGGTCCAGTGAATAACGGCTGCACTCTCAACCTGCCCAGGCTCGCCGTGTGGGCCGGTGCTGGAGCCCTGGGCCCTCGCCCTTGCCCGAGCACCTGCTGGAACCCTGGCATTACTGACCCTCCTTATGATGCTGCAGTTCGAGGAGTTCATTTTCCCTATAATTTGACAGCTTTTGAGTGGAAACCAGCAGTATCAGCATCGCCAGTGACCTCGTTAGAAATGCAGATTCTCTGAACATTACCCCAGAGCTAGGGAGTCTGAAACTCGGGGGGGGGTGAGGGAGGCAACCCGTATTATATAAACGAGCTCCCAGGCGATTCTGATGCAAGAGAGTTTGAGAACCAGCCCGCTTAGTGACCAGCAGGTGGGTCCTCCCTCTGGCCCATGCTGAAGTGCTGCCCAGCTGGAAGGAGGGTGGAGCCCTTCAGAGGACGTGGAGGAAGTGACACTCGCGGTCATGCACCTTCTCCAGGTCCCCGGTGCAGGGCTTGGGCGTTTATCTGCTGGTTGAAAGCGCGGGGTGGGGAACATCACTGCTTCGCGAGCAGGAGCGCTCTGCAAACATGTGGTGTCCCCCCGCCCAGAGCCACACTCTTCCAGTGGAGAAGGAAGTGATGCTCATCAGTCCTCTCTAGTCTGACACCGGCATGAAGTGTGAAGAAGATGGTGTGAGTCAGGTCACTCCATGTGCGAAGAATTTTACCATTTAGGAACCCTCCCGCAGTTTTCCTGGTTCCCGTCGGCACTGTGCCTGTTTTAGGCGCAGAGTTATGCCCACAATAGCTGCGCTCCGTCCTGCGCCATAGACTAGAAATTAAGAAATAAATCTGGCTTTCCAGGGAGGCGAGAAGGAAACCATCGGAAGTGGTAGAGAGACAAGTTGTAAGGAGTCGAAATTCCAGCTAGAGGCCCAGGGGAAGCTGGGGGGTTGCCAGAAACTATAGAAGAAGAAAAAAAAAAGTTCTTGTAGCCGCAATAATAAACTATAAAGGCGATAGATTCATTAGCAGAACCTAATACGTTTTTAGTCTATTAACTAGTGTAAATAATGAAATGACCTATTTCTTTTTGCTAAATGGTGAGACAGAAAAAACTGATTAAAATGATCATTTGTTTGCTGTGCTTGAATTAGTAATTAGGCGAAGCTCTTAAAGAGGGAAACATTCCCTGTTATTTATTTTAATTATTCTCCACATATTTTGAAGTAAACTGTTTTCCCTCCTCTGTTTTCCTGAATAATCCCCAAGCAACTTTATTGTTTTCCAGCATTAATCCTGAGGCATTAATCCTGACCTAGCGACAAAAACGGAAGAACCCTTTGTGGCGATGCCGGGGAGGGGGAGGGGCGGATATGTTGCTGTTTACCTGTGAAGGCTTGTGAAATGCCACAGACTCCAAGTTCATCAAGTCTTCTAATAGCTTTTTAATTCCTTGAAGCTATAAACTGCTTTATTTGGGTAGATTCCAGGTTTTCTCAGGCTTGAGCTAATTTTTTTTTTTAATTCAGGTGGTGGAGGGAAATCTGCATAATTTAAATGTTCTTCTTTTTCTGGTTTTGAAGCCTATTTGGTTGGAAGCCAAGAAGATAAATCTGAAATTCCAGGGGTGTCTTCACGTTCTCGTGCCGATAAGATTTAGTATCTGGTGCTGTTGGATCAGAGTCCACAAGTATCAACCCTAATTTGAGAACTCTGATGCTCTCATTGCCCCCACATGTCCATCCGACCACTTACAAGCCAGCTGGGTAGCAGAGATGCCATAAATAACGCGGGTCCCACCCACCCCGTTTTCCCCATGTCGCCCACAGACCTGCCTCTTGAATGTCGTTTCCTTTTATCGCTTATATTTATGGGGGTAGAGTCTCTGGATCTCACTGCTTTTATAACCTGACCCTTGAAGGTCAGAGCCCAGAGTGATAAAACAACAGAGGGGAGTCTATTCATTTCTAAGATGTTTCAGATGTTGTTTCTAAAGCCGAGGAACATTTAAAACGAGAAGTGGCACTTCTGGCCGTGGTTCCAAATCCTGGGCTTTCACAGCAAAGGTCCTTGCTGCAGTCGAAGCCTTGCAGTATAACCTACGCCAGTTGCTCGTGAAAGTGAAGCCAGCGGCTCCCCGGCACGGCCTGGCACGCTCTGCTGGCTGGCAGAGCCGTGGTCCCTGCCGTCTGGGACACCTGCTCCCGCAAAGCGGAAACAGAGGCGCCGCGCAGGCTGCTGAGCTCCCGGTGTCCCTTTTGATTACCCTCTGCTGTTTTGGTTACAGGTGGTGGCTATTGATGTGGACATGGCCTTCTTTGAACCTAAAATGAGGGAAATTCTCGAGCAGAATTGCACGGGAGATGAAGACTGCAATTTTTTTGACTGTTTTTCAAAGTGTGATTTGCGAGTCAACAAGTGCGGAGCCCAGCGAGTCAACAGCAACCTGCAGGTAGCAATGGGGAGACCGTGCCCACCGGCCGCCTCTGCCCATGAGTGCTGTGGTGCCCTGTCAGTGCAGAAGGCTGCCCTTTCTGTGCCAGCTGGGCCCCACGTGTCCTATAAAGCCTGGGACAGTGGGCAACAGGGTGGTCATTTGTTCTTTGCTGTCTACCCCAAGGGGTTGTTGGCCAAGTGACCCAGTGGAGTCTAATGGATGCAGCTCCCAGGAAACCCCGTTCCTGGGCTCCCTGCCAGCTATGGGGGCTTCGATAGCTGTTCTCTAACTATAGAAGAAGCATCTACACACACACATGCACACTCACATGCACACACACGCACACGCACGCACGAGCTCTAAGAATGAAAACAGTGCAAAGCGCTCCTAGAAACGGGCCAAACTAGGGAGGTCGGATGGACATCACAGTCCAGACAAGTGAGGGGTTGGAAACAGCAGATGGTTAGCAGGAGAAGGAACATGTGTCGCAGGTCCGGGAGTCAGCAGTAAGGGAGACTTGGTCCTGGGTCCCAGCCCTCAGATGGGGTGTCAAGTCAGGGAGGCCCCAGTGCAGGCCTCACTTCCCCCTCCGTGCAATACAGCTTCAGGCAGAAGCTGTCTGCTCCCGGCCCTCACCGGACGCTCTCAAGTGGGATGAGCTTGGGCCCACAGGTGATGACTACAACCAGGAGAAGGTCGTGGCAGAGGTCAGGCTCACCTCCCCCGCTGCCTGGTTGCCCACGACCTCACATCTATGCTCTTGTCCCCACTTTCCTGCGTTGTCGCTGTCCCATCCATCCCACCCCCGAGTCTCACCTCCCCGGAGTCCTCTAGTCCCAAAGGCCAGTGTGACCCTGATACAGACCTGGTGACGTGGCCCCAGATCAGAGGAGGCAGGAGCTTGGTGCTGTGTCATGCCAGAAGGCAGGCGGGTCCGGGGGGACCGGGACAAGCGGTGCCTCTGGTGCTCTGGACCAGGCCTGATGGAGCTGTAGGTTGGAAGGCCAGCGGCGATGGGGCCTTCGGAGGCCTCTCCATCCCACGTGGACTCACATTATTGGTGGGTCTGCGATGAAATCATTCTGCTTCAGCTGCGGGAACAAGATGCCTTTCTCTAGAGCATCAGCCACCTGTGACCTCATCCCACAAAGTGGAAACACAAACACCTGCCCTTTGCGGCATGAGAGAGTTTCCTATCCTTAATATATGAAGGGCTCTTACAGATCTATTGACAAGCAAGACGGGGCCCTTTTCTCCAGCCTCTGAGGCTCCAGGAGTGTCCCCAGGATTGTCCTTGGCCCACCAGAGCTTCTTTACCACTGTTATCCCAGATCCCAGGGGCAGTGTCTGGTGATTGGCTGGTGGGGGCGGAGCATATGCCAAGTCCAGACGCCCCGCCCAGTGAGGAAGGACTGCCTTCTCTCTCAGTTCCATGGAGGCGTGGCTTCCAGGAATGACCCTCAATAAATCCCTATATGTAAACCTCCATCTTAGAGTCTGCTCCCTAGGAAAGCAACCTAAGCAAGAGGCTAATGTCCTTAAGATATACAGAGCATCTACAAATTAATAAGAAAAGGGCCAACGTCAGATCAAAGCGTGGGCAAAGGAAAACAACTCGACCATTTCCTGGAAAGGAAGCACAACTAACCGAAAAGAACAATGGAAATTAATCATTTTCCCCCATCAGTTGGTAAAGACGAAAGCACGTGTTGGCAAGGGCGTGGGGAGACAAAACTTCTCATCGCACACCGCTGTGGGCGTGTAACAGTGCAACTTTTATAAGGTCAATTTGGCAACATCTAGCAAAACAAAAATTGCACATACCCCTTGGCCCAGGAGTTCCATTTCTAGAAGTTCGGTCACACGTGCCAAAGGAAAATGACATATATGCAAGATACTTTGCGCAGCATTGTTCGTAATGGCAGAAGTTAGTAAGTAACCCGAATTTCCATCGATAGGGAACTAGTCGAATAATTTATGATACACCCACACTTTTGAGGTGCAGCCATTCACACACATGGAATAGCCTTATAAAATCTGGTTTGGAAGGCTCTCCCTGGCATTCGGGTAAGTGGGAGTGGAAGCTGTGGAGCCGTGTGTGTAACGTGCTGCCGTTCGTGTAAGTGAAAGGACAGGCGTGTGTTTGTCCAGACTAGAAGGGTGTTGCAGGAAGCGGGGCCTCCGCGCTGCCGCGAGCCTGGCTGTCAGGAGCGGGATGGGGACTAAGGCGCCTTTTGGGACATGTTTTGCACATGAAAATGTATTATCGATTCAAAAAAGAAAGATCGTTTGTTTTTAAAAAGAGGAATGGAAGTTATTTACTTGTCCTCTATAACAGTAGCTCTATAAAACTGAAGCGTTTGTAAAACGGGGCTAATACAAAGCGCGATGTAAAAAAAATAAAGAGCCATTAATTATGCAGCTCCCGGTCCAGTTCTGGGGGGCGGGGGGTGGGGAAGCTGTACAACAAACGCGTTCAGATGGGGAGTTAAAGGCCCTGGAGCATCAGGGACCCTCGCCCCGCTAGGGCTGAGGCTGCGGGAGAGGCTGGGGTTTTACTCCGGCTCCTGACAGCCAGGATTGTGAAGCTCCTTCCTTGCCGGCCCTTCCCTTCCAAAGGACCTTTTCTTCTGCGAACCTCAAAGTGCGCTCACACGCGCACACCACTTCTCACGTCCCCTGACGCGCTGCCATTTGACCGTCAGGACGACCTGTCCTGTGGTGTCACTGTCACCGGGACCGATTTACGGCCCAGAGCGCCCAACCTCAGCTTGGCGCTGTGGCCGCAGCGAGGTGGCTGCCTCGGGCGTGCCAGGGCCCGCTCCTCAGCCGCCCGGTGCTGTGGCTTTCTGCTCCGCTTTCTGTGCAGAAGGTGCCCAGCCCTGTCTGAAGTGTCACCCAGACTGTCCCCATCTGCTCTGAGGCTGGAAGTGGGATTTTCTAGTCCTGGGTGGTAGCCTTCTCTCTGCGACAAAGTTTGTCCCTAGCTGAGCGGTTGACAGTCCAGAGGAGAAGGCCCTGGTCATCCTGGCGGCCTGCTGGGGACCCCGAGGGACCCCGGGGCTGTGGCGGCCAGCGTGAGAACCAGCTGCAGGCTCGGGGCTTTCCGCTGCTGTGTCGCCCTGCACTAACGCCCCCTCTCCTGTCCCTCAGGTCGTCTGTGACAAAATATTCCGCCACTGGTTTTCCTCGGCTCGCACGAGCCCG